TAGTACGCTGCTCCATCAGGATTACACTTCAGCAAGGTTTGCTTGTATATGTATTCTTATCTGGAAATGAGGTCCCTTTCTTTTCACTAATCCCATTTAAGGCAGTCAGAGAAGAGCTATAGCTATAGTATATTGATCCACACTGACATGAAAGCAATTTGTCATGGCCTTGAGTAAAGGTTATGGGGGTAGGGTGTGCATGTGATCTAGTAGTGATCACATGCACAAAAATTGCTGCACGCTTGCAGTGTGTCAGAATTGAGGAAATAATCTGAATGCTAATTCCCAGGTAAATAAACATATCAGATTATTAGTTCCTGGTTTCTCCTGTTGCCTTCTCATGGCGCAGGAGAATTGTTAGTTTACTTAACCATCATGATACTGGAATTGTTCAAATATCATAGACTGGATGCATTTTTCCGCATCAGTTTTGGATAGCAAATTACATTCCTACAATGATTCATGGGGCTTCCCTGCACAGCCCTCAAGGATATGTTATTGGCAAGCATTCATAGATTTAATCCATTCTCCATCCCCTGTGTGCTTTCTTTTATCATACTTCAGCAATTAGACATCAGTCAAATGTTCTCATAAAGATCATCACAGCTCAAACTGATCAGACGGCTGCGTTCAGACGAGTTAGGTGGCACTAAAAACAAATAAGGGTGTTTCTGAAGGAGCGAGCTGTGTGTGAAGTCTAATCACTCTCTGTATGGGGGTATGTTGATACTGGCTGTTTGCAAAGTGTCATAGGTGGCATTTTCTCTGAAAGCCTGACAGTGATTTTGCATTTGAAAACGCATTGCTTGAATTGTTACTTCTACTCAAGTTAGTATTCGTTCTGCTTTCGAATCCTGCCTTGAGACACATTTTAACAGACTTGCTATACCTAACTAACATAACACTTTTTTCTTAATAGGTATATTATTCACATTTCCTTTTGGATCGTTAATTTGTACTTTTGTATAGTGTGGGTATTTGTATTTAGCAGATTTCTTTTATAGATTTTTTTCAGTTGATGCTGCTACAGAAAGGTTGATGATATGCTATACACATAATAATATCAATATGAATGCATGAATGAGAGACAACTTCAAAAGTCAGTTTTGTTTGATAAGGTAGGGAAGTGCCATTTATATGCAGTCCATTTACCATTTTTAACTTCAGCAAACCTCACCTAATCCTACCTTAAAGCTAACTACCTCGTCTTTTTTGTTTTAATGCATTGACCTTACTTTTGTAGCTTTATAGACACAACTTAATGACAGCAGGCCTTGTTCCCCACAACTTTAGTTATCATTAGCACACTGCCAACTGTGCTTGAATCACTCTTACACACGCACTGTGTACATGATGTGTGTTTGCGTATTTGTGCGCACACACTCCGAGTAGCCATTTTCAGCCTGTTGCTTAGGCTGGCTGTAATTGTCCTGGGAATCATCAGCTCTGTGTAATAAATCACTCCTCTGGTACACTGTGTTCCTCACTCTGGGATGGGCTCTGTGTGCGTGTTTTGTGCATGCTAAACATATTGTGAGCAGAGAAAGAACATGGTTAAGGAATAATAGGGGAAAAGGACATTAACGGGAAACAAACTGCAGCTCTATTTGTCACGAAAAGGGACAAAAAGAGGCTCAACTTAATTTGTATGCTATATGAAAAACCAACCAACATGTAGTTGGTGTATAATGAAGATGTAAATTGATTTTATATAGTCCCTTCTTTGTTTTGTACCATTCAGTGCTTTTTCTTGCGTTTCTTTGAAATTGTCCTTCAGACTTGAATGTCCAGTCAGTAGAGAAAACAGGTTTTTCACATGGTCTCCAGTTTGTTTTATTGTAGCACTGCTGATCCCTGACCTATCAGTTCTTTTTTCCATCATCATTTTCTGTCTCCTATATAAATCCATTTGTTCTGTTTACTTTTCTCTCAATTTCTCCATAAATCTTCAGTTTAAATACAACTTGAGAACCAGAATATCTCTTCCTTCCTTAGAAAGGCCAATGGATATCAGGTGCCTCTTCACTAATGTACTCAATGGGAACAAAAGAGGAGCCTTTGCCCGGGATCTCATCTCCAGTATAATGCAACCACAATGGATCCCTCTGGATTCAGTACAAGATCAAGTCCCACAGCCCATTCAGAATGTATGTGGAAGAGGACCATTCCTCTTCCACAAGTGTGTGTGTGTACGTTCGTGTGTGTGTTTCTCTGCAGTCGGGAGCTTTCCACTGTTGCTCAGAGCAGCGTGGGGTTCATTGAGTTTCACAGGGTTGCTGGGTTCGCAGTGCTGCTGAGAGCTAGTTTGCCCAAAGTCCTGTCCTTGAACTGTGTAAGAATATGCTGCTAGGGAAAGGCTTTTCAGACTGAGTGACTGCAATAGTTGAAGTCATGCCAGCTGAATGGAAGCCATGTGAGACAAATCCTGGGCTACTCACAAGTATCGCACAGAGGCTAGCGGAAAGGGGACGTTAAAGTGGAACATCACATGGAGGGTTTTCTTGTCACTTTGTATTTCTAACACTCAATTAGGCCATTGTTAAACTTTCAAGACTATTTCATAGCAAAGAACATGATGGACCAAATTGGAGCTGTGCAGTTACTCTTCAGGGCTACATCCTTCTACCAACATTTCTTAAACTGACATTCATTGGGGTGGAATTTTTGGGGAGTTTCCCAAGGTAAAATAATGACACACTTGACATGTTGGTCAAGCAGTTACACACCCAAGGGAGTGGAAGTGTCTGAACTGCAAGGAAAATTCTTTCATTCAGGCCTGTATGGCGGCTGTAAACTGAACTGCCCCACAGGACAAGAGCTGTTTTCTATAAGGCGTTCCAGCCTGTAACCAGGGGCAAAACTATCTAACTAGCAAAAGACTTCTGTATTCAATTATAGCAAAAGCAGAGAGAATGCTAAAACAGTAGGCATGTCTGATGCAGGCTAGCTCTGTTCCGGTACGCACATGCAGCTTGCGTGTTTAAGTATGCGCGTTAATTTTAAAACGCCGTAAACCACAGTATTCACAAATAAGCAGAAAGGAATGTTATACGTTTTCCTCTCCGGTATCTTTCTCTCTACCTCCCCACATCTCTCCCACAGCAAGCTCTCTCAGTAAAACAGAAATAAAAAGGAGTGTGTCTGTGTACGCGTTTGTGTGCAAAGCCTTAAGATGGAGCACAAATAATGGTTGCTAGATCCTGGCTCCAAAAGATCTCGAACTGCAGGGTATGTAATTGAAATGGCACTTATTTCTTTCTAGATATATATATATATTATTATTATTTTCAGGAAAGCCATGCCCTCAACAACCTTTTGAACACTCAGTTCTGCCTTGATGGTGAGGATGGTGTGAATGACTGTTTCATTAAGTAGATATGAGGACTTGAGTATTTAACTGATTTCTGTTTGAATTATTTACACTAGTCTCAGTAAATGTCACAGATGCCCGTAAATGTCACTGTATTTCTATGCAGGTTTTGTGCATTCAAGTGGATGTTGGGTAAAAGTTGCTCGATGGCAGACCTACAGCAGTTCTTCACTGGCAAGCTTTATGTCCTCATGTACCAGCTAAAGCTGCCAGCTGAAGAACTGTTGTGGTCGGCCCTTAACTGCATTGAAGACCCGTCCATCCCCATGAGTGACATGAGGACAATGACCCAATCATATCCAGTCTCTTACAGTCAAATTAAAACCCTGTTACTTATGCGGCACGTTCCTGCGTTGAGATTCCTACCATGACACCTGCCGTATCATGTAACAAAAGCATTGCATCGTGGGCATTTGACTCATTTTAGGTTAGTATTCATGATAGCTGTGATGACGTTGTGTGCGTGTTTTAAGGATTTGAGCATCAGCAGTCAAACGTACATCCTATTGTTCTTATTTCAGGTTTGGAAAAGATACTCAAAATGACCGATGATAAACCTTGTTGGTGTTCAAAGACAAACCTCTCAATGATCTTAGCTGTCCACTTATGCTAGCAGCTCAGTAATCACAGTCGAAGCTAATAAAGTGAAATGATTTAACATTGACAAAGTGGTAGCACCTTCTGTATTTGTTTGCTTAAAACCAAACTAATATAATTGAAATAAGATATTAATAAACAGTCACCTGTCATTAACATGCTTCTGCTTTTACTCCTCTATGTTAAAGTAGACATCCAACAACCCTGCCGAATGTCATGCAAAACAGCGCACATAACATACATCTTGCATGTGACCCTCGGCTGTCATAAAATAAACTTCAAGAGAGAGGGCAGGGCTCCGAGCAGGATATGAGAATGTGTCTCTTTAAAAGCTGCCAGCCAGAATCCAACAGAGGGAAGGAATGTTCTGGGGCCTTAACAAAACCAGATGCCCCGGCTTACTCTCCCTTGCACACATGCTCTCTGCTGCCTTCCCTCGTTCCTCAAGCCTCTTACTTAACACCACAGATGGAAAGAGGAGTTGTGCAGCAGACTCCCTCCTCCGCCTGTCTTAAGTACACCGTCTTCCTTATCGACTACCTTTAACGTTGTTTGGTTCCCGTCTCCCTGTCTGTGTCCCAATCTCCTTATCTTCTTGTCTGCTCCTCAGTGCTTGGCAGACCTTTTCTTCAACCCATCCTCCACAATCCTCCGTCACTCCACGGACACACACGGACACACACACACGGACACACACACACACACACACACACGTAACACTAACAGGTAACACTAACATGGGATTATTCCACTCTCTCCTGTACATCCTCTTCAGTGAGCACTGCCAGTACTTACATTAACGCGGCACACCAGATCAAACAAGGGTCACGGCTTGACCTTGTCTGCGGTTTAGGTTAATTCAATGACTTGCTGAATGATCGGCTCCCAGGGCATCTGTGCATTAAGAGATTGAAAAAGAAGGGATGCGCCGGCCGTAGGAAGAATCCAACTGACTCTACGGGATCGGACCATTCTGCAATCCCTGTAAGTGTGTGTTCATCACCCCTTCTCTGCCTTTCTCTTTCCCACACAGATGTGCTACACCTGTGCCACTAAACCTGGGTGGCTTGTACCTGTACCATCTGCTGTGCCAGCTGTGCAGGGAGAGCACGCATAACAACATCAGAGAAAGAGATAAACAGACAGCTGCTGAAAACAGAGAGACGGAGGAGCGTCATCAAAGGAGCGCTGAGTCAACCAACACACCATCAATCATGATATATTTATTGTTCGCTTGGCTGTTTTACAGCATTTAAAATTCGAATTTAAGCAAGATGATGTAGGATGCATTATTTTTTCGGATTTAGCGCCCCTACAGTTCCAGAGTGCAGTTCAGTCATACTCAGTGTCGTAAATATGAAGAGCTGTAACGTTAGTGCATTTGTTGTGATTATATAAGGATCAGAGACTATCCAGTCAACAATTTGTTTAGTACAGCCAAGCATAGTGCAAGCGCAACATCACAAGCCATAGCAACTCAGCAAATGTTATTTCCCTAGCTCCACTCCCATGTATATTATTATCTGTTTGTTGCAGTCCGTGTAAAACATGCCTTTTAATTACAAATCATTGTGCTTTTGTCTTTATTCATGTTCAGCTTTCTCAAATAAACAACTTATTGATATCCATTCCTACAACAATTGGGTCATTGATCACTCTTTTTTTAAATGCACTACACTTGAAACTAAGTACTGAAACGTGCATTGGACCGGGGGTTCAGACGACGGGAGCTGCTCTACAGCACATTAGTGTTCCTGTCTCCAGGCTTATGGACTTAGCAAACACACTTCCTGTTGGAGAAGTACATTATACAGCCAGAGGGAACATAAAGAATAATCTTCTTAAAAAGGTGTGAGCTCCTCTGTGAGCAGTATAAGAAAGCCCTTACTGTATCTGAATATAACACAAAGACAGGTACTCTACCATGATGGGATATTGCAGTTATCTGCTCAGTCAGTTGGCACTTAACATGGACTTAAATATAATTATGTTATTTAAAAAGGGTTAATTTCTGTGTGAACCTGCTCTGATAAAACACAGACAGTTTAAAATCAATTTCAATACCAGCTCTTTATACCTGCGCTTTAGGTTGCAAACTTTGACTAGTAACACTTACAATGGCAGATTGCGGTATCACAGTAATCTTTATCAGTGAGTCGGTAATTTAGTCTTAATGAGCCGTCTATTGAATGCAGCCATTATTAATGCTATCGATAACACCTGGGCTGTTCATGCTATGACATGATAAAGGATCCACAATGAAATGGTCTAATCGCTTTTAACTAAAGATTGCTTGTTGTTAGTCAATTGTTTCATTACAACCCTACAGTTGTAATCAACATCAGGCTGGTTTCTCCAACAGGTTGGTAAAGCTACATTCACAATGCTCAATTCAGATTAATTGCTGAAATCCCAATTGTTGTGGCCAATATTAGATTCCATTGTGAACAGGTCATGGTCTTGACTGACCCTCATGCGCAAAAGTACAATAACTACATGCAGCACGCTGTCGTATGAAGCAATACATCTACTGAAGGAAATGTAGATACTACCACATCTGTAAAGACAGAAGTAAATCATCTTAAAACAACCTCCTATACCAACCAAAGATTGTTGATTGATTGTCAATTTTAAATGGCTATGACAGCATTATAGCTTAGCAAATCAAATACAAATATAAGAAATAAACATTTATATTCCAGTCTTACAGAGGTCAGGTGATTCTCCATTTCAAAAAAATATTCAGTTGATCTGCAGTGCCATCAAATGCCAAAAGTCTGAGCTCTGCATGAGCACATACAAGAGACGGGGACAGTTTTTCCTCCAGGGATTGGGTTTCCTGTGCCCTTTGGAATATGTAATACCAGTCACTTCTTTGCACAGCATGTGTAGTCATCAGACCATTGACTTTGACCCCTAGCTGTTAGTAGATTAACTTCATCTGTTTAAATTCATCTGACCCTCCTAGAGAAGGTCACAGAGACGTCCTGCTGTCTTTTCATGAAGATATATCTAACTGTGCTCTCGATCTGCTGGAGAGATATTCCCACAGGATGTTAGATCAGATCTATGTTCCTTATCACTTATTGTCTCATAGTGGTGCTGTCAAGTTAATGACTAATGGAGTGAAAGAGAACAAAGCACTAATGGACAAGATGCACATATCTCCTGGATATTAAGTTTTGTGTGTGTGTGTGTGTGTGTATGTGTGTGTGTGTGTGTGTGTGTGTGTGTGTGTGTGTGTGTGTGTGTGTGTGTGTGTGTGTGTGTGTGTGTGTGTGTGTGTGTGTGTGTGTGTGTGTGTGTGTGTGTGTGTGTGTGTGTGTGTGTGTGTGTGTGTGTGTGTGGTAGGCGTGACTTAGTTAGAAAGGGTGATAGGATTCTCTCTATTCTCGGGTGTAGTGTCTGCTGTACATCCCTTGTTCACCTCTTATGTCAAAGCAGGAAGAAGATCCAAGGTCAGGTCTGAAGAGGTTAACAAACCTCTCCTAAATTCTTCCCTGTGGGTAAAATCATGTGAAAGCTGCTTAAGCAGATTATCCCTTTCTCGACGGCAGCAGGCAGTGAGATCTTTGGGAGCGCACTTGACTCGTTACTGGTGGTGACACAACAGTCTTCTGTGCTACGTGCTCCCACAATCCTCCATGACCTTTAGCCCCAGGGGGGAAGTGCATCTTGTAGCCCGGAGCAAGCAGCAATTAACTATCTATCAGACAACACACTCCTCACACTGATCAACATATCAGTGATTCGATATAAATATTTGAACTTTTGTGAGAAATCTGTTAATTTTATTGTTTAGATGTCTGTATTCTTGTATTAATATCTAACATTTCCCCCTTAGTTCTGGATTGTTTATGGCGACAACATCCCAGAACAATATCAAATCATAAAAAAGAACAGTTTTGACAAAACTACACATTACAAATCCCAATGAAAGATAAAGTCATTTCTGTAAATCCACTGTCCAGTTTCCAGGTAATTATCATATCTTGACCCAACTATAATTGTATTTTGTCCATATTGTATGTTATCAGATAATAAAAAAGTCTCAATATATCTGTGGAAGCTGCTTCAGGCTTTTTTTAAATGTGTGTAGGTGGAGAGTGTCCATCTGTGTTTAAATTGGTTGGGCCTTGGCAATTTACACGTCAATGAAAAGTGTCATTTTACTAAATTAGGTCCAGGCATAAGAAGAAGAATGGCTTTCCTCCAAGTTTATTTTAATGAAGTCCCAGGTGCACCGTCATCTCTTGAAACACAATGCTCTAATAAAATCGACCCTATCACAGCCAACGAGGCAAGTTTCATTACAAATGAATGCTTCACACAGGAGCCTTTGCCAAGTACAACCCAAGAAGAATATATTATTTGCAACAGTGACACACAGAGTTTTGTTTGTGAGAAATATTTTCTTTCAGCTGATGAAGATGTGAACTATGGTGTTGGAGCTGTTAGTACTCTTCAGTCAATTATAAATACGATTTCAGAGGCCATTACACAAAGAACAAAGCTAACAATGGTAAACTGTCTAGATGACGTCTGTAGTCATTGATTAAAAAAGATTTAAGAGAAAACTGAAAAACTTAAAGAAGAATCACTGTCTCAATTCTCGCTATACAATTACACAAGAAAAGACACAACTGGCTGCCAGGTGAAACGCTTACATTTATGGAGTCCAGGTTGATTCTGGTAAATGTTTTTGCAGACTTTCAAGGCATTCACTCTCACTATTGTTATGGTACAGTTCAAGGTTGTTGGAAATATTGTTTCATTATTTGTAGGCAGAAATACAACATAAAGATGTAAGAGATACTATAGCCTATTAACATCAACTGCTTTTCATTGAAAGTGTATGTATGCCACTGTTAATCATTGAAAATGTAGATACTCTCTAAATAAATGGATATTAAAGTAAATAAAATAGATGAATAGACGCCAGATCGAAAAAGTGCAAATGCTTTGGAAATCATCGCGTTTGCTAATATTCACAAAAGTTTGTGAAATGTACAAAAATGTCAGCAACTCACTCTTGAGAACTCTTGAGTTATTGTAAAAACGTCCGTAGATTAAATGTGGTGAGGTCTGGTTATTTTAAATGTTAGGAATCTATCATCGTGGTCTTCTGTTTTGTCTCATTCATCTGATTTATAATAATAATAATAATAATAAATTACATTTTTTTATTAGAGCGCTTTTACAGGTGCTCAAAGCGCTTTACAAGTACACATTACACATATTAGACATGTAAGAGTCATTACTGCGGACATTACCCACAGGAGCAAATGCGGGTAAAGCGTCTTGCCCAAGGACACAGTTATGGGTGGGTGGCTACCCGGTTTTGATAAATGACCAATGAATAAACCAATATATTTTAACCGTCAATAACTGTCTGAGCTTTTTGTCATATTTAACTGCCTATGGACATGACCATGATTCATATGAGTACCTACAGTATAGTATAAAGAGCACAGTATTGGCACCCATTTTTAGCCAGATGTGCACAATTTTGTGTGGAATGTGGAAACATACAGATGGAAATCAAATCAGAGAGGGGCCAAAAAAATGAAAAGTTTGGGTACTGGTTGCAGTTGCACCAAAAATCTAATATTTAACATACCTAATTTAGGTGATCGTTAATGTTATACCAGAGATAAAGATCTACTTAACTATGTCATCCAAAAAAAGAGGCAATATATAGCCAGGGATTGATAGATGAAACAAAGCAGCCTACACCCACTCACTGTGCTGCTTAACCCAGTATGCATCCTGTCTCAAAGGGACCCTACTCATGATGTGTTCTACACATTACAGCCGATACTTGGCCGGCACTGCGCTCCTAAAATAGACTGAAGTTCCAGATAGGTGGGCTGTGAAGCAAAAGAGAAAGAAAGTGGAAAATGCAGAGAGAGTGAGACGGAGAATATTGTAACAAAGAGGACCGAGGACTCATATTGTGTTTCTGCAATCTGCTGCCCTCGCTGCTAATTCACTACGTACGTACGTGCGTGCGTGCGTGCGTGCGTGCGTGCGTGCGTGTGTGTGACGTCAGTAAATGTGCTCTTGTCAGTCTGCTGCTCTTGAGTGAAGGCCCATTATGTAATTCTTTGGAAAGTCTGAGTTGTCAGACAATTTTATTTAAATGATGTAATGGGCACAAGGACATAAAGTATCACACATTTTTGGCAAAAGAGCGTATGTAGAAAACAAGCACTTTGATGAGTCATAAACATGACATGTCATAAAGTTAAACACAGAGGCCCATACATGTATATGTGCTGGAGTGGGCTGTAGCGAGTGGAAGCTTACTCAACAGAGTTATAAATAACTGGACGGTCTGCACCAACGGTTTTGTCTGAGTGGAGAACGCTCAGAGTTCAATGTAACCTGACAACTTAATCCCGTGTAAGAGAGAGAGGCAGAGGAAGACTGGTGAACGTGGGGCCGTCTTGGGTTTCCAAGCTACTGTTGCTTATTAACACTCAGAGAGGAGCAGCAAACATTGGCTCTTTTTTGGATACAGTTCCGCTTGTAATAGATGCAGGCATAATGTTGGCACATTCATATATAAAGATAAAAACATTGTGCTGCTTTTCTTTATCATGTAACAACAAAAAGCCTCTCCCACAGTCATCACAACAGAGGTCAATGCGGCTTAACTGTGGTTCTTGCGCAAACACAAAATGCACTTATTAAAGCCAACTCCCACCACATGCTCAAATTCTGTAAAAAATGTCATAGTCACGATCAAAACGTGAACAGAAATCACTTCAATGTATATTTACATCTAAATAAACAAAGTAGTAACAAGAAACTATCTGACATGACATAAAGGATTGTAAAGTTCTACTGTAAAGAAGATGCTTTTGCCATTTCCTTCTTACTTTTAGTACTGAATGTAGAACGCCTACAAGCTTCCTCTAATTTTAGGTGGTTGAACCTATCGTCTGGAGTCCTCCTTTGGATGCATGCCCATGACCACAGGCAGCTTTAAGGTGTTTTAAGCAGGCAACAGCTTTAACTAGAATTTTTTTGGAAAGAAGGATTTTTACAATTGTATAAACCAGTGTTGCACGCATCAAACTACAAACGGCCTCATACATCACATCCTTCAACAGATAAAGGTTGCAAACAAAAGCATAGGATGTATACTAAGACAGACGGAGTGAGAAGATGAATGCATGCAAGTGTACCGTCTGTGTGTCTGCAAACCACATGCAGCACCCATGTGAGAGCAGACTGACCTTTGATTTTAGCTGCATGTGACAACCTTACTAGGATGGAAAAAGTGCTTGTGTGTGAGCGTGTGTGTGCGTTACAATGTGCATGTGTGTCTGGGAGTGTCCCTCTCTGTGTGCATCTCACGAATACTTGAGGAAATTGTCAATAGTGGCTCATGAAGAGCAGCCCAGCCCCCAGTTGCTCTCTGAGAGCACATGATCCACATTAAAGCCATCCTTCACAAAGTCTGCTCGCCTTTAAGCGCCAATGTCTGGTTACTTGAGTTATCATCCTTACATTGAGAAATGACATTACATTTGAAACAGGGCCTTTGGGTGGATAATCTTTTCCAGCAGTGTGAGCAGAGACTTCAAAGTTCACTGGGTTTGTGTTTAGTCATGCAGTGTAACAATGGCCTCTGATACAGTAAGGATTGATGCATTGTTCACATAACTTGGTTTAGCTCCAGAGCTCAAAGATAACACAGGCTGGTCTCCGCCTCTTTTTGAAGCGTTATACATCTGATTCTAAACAGGTAGACGATTTGGTTTATGGACTGGGCCAGGTTAAGTGTATTAAGGTCAGACAGGATGGCTGCAAAACAGTACACGTCTAATCCCTTGACCCGTTCCAACCAACAGATTAAACTGGCTTGTTTGGGGAAATACTAAGGTCCATCATGTCACTCTCTTTGGCCACACTCAATATCCTTCTTCATTATCAAATGTTTTGCCCAGCAGAAAAGGTCAATATGGTGGCGTAAAATAGCCTGATCACAGCCTAAAACTACTTAGAACTATGAGTAATGACGGTAGGCAGGATTTCACAAGAGGGTGACTTAATGGTAGGCGTGTTCAGTACTGGGAAAATAGGAACACACAGTCGATACTGCAAGAGACAATATAACCCTAAAGAGACAGAGCAATTCCATTAAGGTAATTAAGCTGGCTAACAGCACTTATGTAACAGGTTAAATAACAGCTGCAGAACATGTTATTCAACTATTTGAATGTCTATATTTAGCATGTGATGGGTAGATTACATACTAACTGTATATAACAGGTAATTGATAAAGAACGAGTTGAAAGTACAATACATAAGAAGGGAGAGAAAAAAGTGACTTTTGTAATGTTTTCTGTACAAAACTAATAGTTTGGGGACTCATAATTGGCGTTAGCTGTAAAATGGTTTTATGCATTTATCTCAAATTCACACAATGCAGTTTTGGACATAAGCCTTAATGTTTTTACCAATTTTACTTGGTTATTTTGCATTGACACAAATTAGATGATACAATGTTATTAAATGAATGTCAGGTGTTAGAGTAATAGACCTGGATTTCATAATAGTGGCTTGAGCTCTTGTTGAAGGAAAGGAGTAGAATGACATACAGGTCTGTGCTGGGTCTATCAGGTCAATAAACTCCATTAGCTCCCAGCAGGGGCGCAGGAGGATTTGTCTTGTCTTTCTCACTGTCTCATCAAAAGAAAACTACACTGTCAATTACCACAGACACCTGTTAGAACAACACTTACTGATTCCTGGAGCCTATGTGTAGAAGCTACAGAGATGCATTCTCTAAATAATGTTTTTAACCATAAATACAAAGATTATACTTCACCCTCAAAATTACCATCTATATATATCAATAATTAGCCCATGTTACCTAGAATTTGTTCTCCCATGATTCAACATTAAATGATGACCCAAAAAAAGGACAAAAGCCTTAATGAATTTAAGTGAATAGTCCACGTTAAAATACAGCAGAAAATAAATTAACATCCTTTTACAAACTCTCAAATAAATGTTTGCAGTATAATCCAGGTCTCATTATCCAGTCCTATGCTCAGTACTTCTCAAACATACTTAAGTGTTTTTAAATGTTTTACGTTTTTGTGAAAATGTACGCGTCTTTTGCGGCCTATCTTAACTTTAATTGGAGACTTTCTCCCCTTTTTGATTCTTTATTAAGCATGGAGACATGGCAGAAAAGGTTAGTATCTTTAATAATGAAAGGCAACACTGGATCAATAAATTATATAAATATGGTCATTTTGGGGGTGAAGTATGCCTTTCAGAAAAATTAAAAGCAGCTAAAAAATGTGTTTTTTAGATGTTATAAGCTTCATAGTGCACTGCAGTCCTATATGTTATACTTTCCATTCCTGAATGTGACATTTTGTTGTTGTATTTTAAATGTGTGGGGTGGATTTCATTTACCCACTGGTCCCAAGGGTTTCTTTCCCAGATTATTCCCTTATAGCTGGTAACCAGGGCAAACCCAGCTCATGTGATCCTGTAAAACCGTGAAGGTGACGGTCAGCAACCGAGCGTTATGTACTGCAAGTTATTATATCTAAACAATTCTCTTTGCACGTCACAGACCTAGATCCAATATTTCCTGTGCCACAGAGAACACCTTTGCATTAGCGTGTGGAACAAGGAGCCGGTATGTACTATACGAGTGTCTCTATGTGTCGTGTGCATTTGCCCTTTGTCCTGGCTGCCATGTGTTCTGGTATGTTGCTAAAGGTCGGGGCCAGGCGGAGAGCAGGACGCCAGGGGCCCGCTCAGGGAAACTGTGGCTGAGAAGAGCTGCAGAGCCAAAGGCCAGCGGCTCTGACGAGAGCGGGGATTAGGACGGAGCCGTGGATATCAGAGTAAAACAATACAGGTTGTTGTGCCCAGGTTAAAAGATTACAGGCTATAGAATGCCAGAGGAAATAATCAGTCAGGGAGCTCTGTTTATTTTATTTCCCTTTATAGAGACTGCAAGTGAAACATGCATGTAATTTATGAGCAGCAACTGATGCACAATCTGAGCTAATGTATCATACCAGAAGATTCTCGCCTGTCGTTACCCACTGCCTGACTGCACAGCACTGTTCCTGAGAATGTTGCAAGTCAGGACACACACACACACACACACACACACACACACACACACACACACACACACACACACACACACACACACACACACACACACACACACACACACACACACACACACACACACACACCACACACACACACACACACACACACACACACACACACACACACACACACACACCACACACACACACACACACACACACAACACACACACACACACACACACACACACACACACACACACAACACACACACACACACACACACACACACACACACACACACACACACACACACACACACACACACACACACACACACACACACACACACACAACACCACACACACACACACACACACACCACACACCACACACACACCACACACACACACACACACACACACACGCCTATCCAGCCGTCCACCTAAAGTGCCAGACGAAGGAGTGCAGGTCAAAAGTCCTCTTCCTCAGTGGTTTAACTTTAGAGAACGGTGATTCTGACCTCTGACCTTCTCTGCTTGCACTTGTCTGCTCTACGTATGTCAGGGCTGTATTTTACAACATGAATAGACAGGATTTACAAGAGGAAAAGATAATTAAGTAGTGATCACTCCATGGCCTGGATGGACGTTTTCCGAATCAGTTAAATATAGAAACACTAATAGTGTATTATGCCAGGGTTTAAGGTGTAATTTGTTTGCTCCTGTGTTAATCTAGCCAGAGAACAAAGTCATTATTGTCTCGTTGACTAACAGCAGAACTTTGTAAGACATGTTTGGGAGGCTGCCATTGGTTATGCAATCTTTCCAGATCTGTGACCTCGTTCTGCAAGGATATTTAAACTTAGAAATATGTGCTGGTGGAATATTACACAAGTTAGAAACAATATGGTAAGCACCTGCATGATCTGGTCATACTAAAGTTATATTGAAAGAAAGTAGACACACATTTAACCATAACTTTGCAGGCAGTTGTTCAAATTCCACAAACATCTGTAATCTATGAATGGAGGTTGACTGACTGCATAGCTTTGCTCAATTTTGGCCCCTTTAATAAATAAGACACACAGACACAACGTTTATAAACTTATGACTGGCTTGATTGAACTGCAGCCATCTTTCTTATCCTTTGCAAATCTTTGGAGGAAATATGAGTTGTGGACTGGAAATCCTCAACATTTCTCTTCCCAGCCTGGTGGAGTAGAAGCACAACTTGTATTGTTCTTGTTTATCAGAATCCTCAACAATGACTCATATGACTGCAGATGCCAGCATGAATAAACTGGAATTTGAAAGGAATTGCATAACAACCATTATTGCATATTTTGGATCATTTGGTGCACAGATGGGTGCAGGATATACATGCATTACATTTGTATATGTAAATAACAATTGTCCCCGTCATAAGAAAAAGTGTGCAAATTGCTATTTAGATGAGGATCAAGTTATGTTGAATTACTGTTGCTGTTAGTCAGCCCCTCCTCTGTTTCTCACCTGTTTGGACAAGCCATCATTAAGCTATGACTAACGACAGAGTACTGAACAGTATTCAGGGTTGCAGTTATGACTGACATCAACATGAACATAGTCCTGGACGTCTTCCAGTTACAAACATTGATGAGTCTGCATGCATGCACGAATTGGAGTGAGTCTCTTGACAGTTCCTGTAAGTCAATGTGTTCATCCCTAAACTAAACAACCAGCAGAGAACAGTGACAGAGTATTGTAGGCAAGAACTGATAATGAATGTATTCATGAAGACAATGGCAGCTGGTGCCGAAATATTCTTAGGCCTTTTTGTTCCACACTTTGAGACTACATGCTGGTATCTGAGGCCCAGCATTTACAAGTTCTTGTTCTAGGCTAAAACGACATAGTAAACTACAATACCTTAACTCTTTTAGATCTTGCTATAAAATGATAACCTCTAAACAAACACATGAGGGCTGATTAAGTCCAGTTAATATTTGGATGAAAGTGTGTTTTCCTCTCTCTGCGACACAGTGGAATTAAAGTACTATTATTACTTAGCATCGTCTATTTAAATTAAAGTATGTTTAACTTCTACCAATACATTTAGTCAAAAAAGAATGTTCGCTCCAGATGGTTACGAGGCATTGTGACGATTTCAGAGCAGCCAGTGTGTTTTCCCACATTCAAAATAGGTGGGGAAAAATGTATGTGTAAAGTGTATCTATTCATGAAGGGTTCATATTGATAAGTTATCCTGTTCCACAAAGAAAACATTATGTTTAATTAATTTTGTCTACAGAAACTGTGCCAACAAGGCCAGGACTTTGATAAGGTAGTGATGTAAAAATGATGCATTTTCAAGGACAAAGTTTTGTTACAGTGTCATCACCTCCCGTCTGCAATAACGATGCAGAGACACAGAGTTCACAGATATGGAAGACCCTGGAACAATGACCAATCAGAGCGGACTGTACTCTTGCTGGAGGGGGGCTTAAAGAGACAGGTTCTAAAACTGAGCGTTAGAGACCGATTCAATTAATCTAAACTGACTCAAATTAAATAATTCAAACATACCTTCATGCCCTAAACCTACAATACAAATATGACCCTGAAAATGTGCATATTATTTCTCCTTTAACTAATTTTTACTAAATGTTACCTTTTTACTACATCTACTAAATAAATGTAGTGGATTATGTCCACCAACCGACCATAGTAACCCCCACACTGCCCCATTTGCATGTTTGTCTTTCTTTTAGATCTGCTAGGTCAGCTTTTTATGTCAATCTGACAGGGAGAGAAAGAAGGATCCTGTCTTTCCCTCTTACTGTGTGCCTCATTTCCACAGAAGAAGCTCAAAAGGTTTACACATTCATTAACATTATGCTATGTGCGTATATGTTGTGCGTCATGGAAGGAGCCCTCCCCCGGTGGGTTATGTATATGAATGAATGGCTTCTTCACAGGGAGCGGCTCCTCCCCAGGAAATCCACAACTGGACTTTCCAGAAATAGAGCATGACTTGCTTAAAGTGGAACTAATGCATCAGCGACGGGTTTCCAGCAAGGCTAAAAATTAGAGAGACCGGGGTGTACCTCCTGCTGGCAGGACAACTTATAGCTGGACCTGTTGTCAAAAGATGTGTGTGCATGCGCTTCAGCAAACTGAGACATTAGATTTCCCCACGCTACAATGTTCATGCAGCAAACCTAGATATGCACCTTTACACACAAAGAAAGCACAGAGAGATGTAGGCGTTGTGACGCAAGCATTATGAGTCACTGCCACAAAGCCTGAGCGCTTAAACGCACAACAGTGTCATTGCCTCTCCAACAGGTAGGATGTATTGCTGCTCTCCCACCACTCACTCATACTTAAACTGGCCTGAGGTCAGTACACAGAACACTTTAAATCACCAAACCAAAACCTTAGTCAGTAACGCTCTCATGAAATGTTCATAGACAAGGGTGACACTTTTTTCTTTTCCATTTCATAACTCACAGATATAATTATTATTCAAAGGGCTGTTACTATAGCAACACAAACCTGTTAACCCTGCTATATGTTCAGTGTTTCCCCAGAGAAGAAAGGAGGAGCAAAATCCAGCGGGTGGAGAAACAATGCACCCATTTTACTTTCAAAAATATTAGTAGAATGATAAGGCCCATGCCTTCCCCTCAACCAACTTCTGCCAGTCACAATTTGTAACTGTTTGTGATGGTTGTAGAATAATTATGAAGTCAAATTAAGATTATGTGTGTACTCTGAAAGGGGCTTCACACACAGGGACATGTCAGGGCCGGTGTGATGAAGAAGAGGACAAACTCCTGCTTCACTACCAAACTCTTCCACAGGAGGGCGTAGAATCGGCTCAATGCCTGTACTTCAAGAGTGGCCAAGTACATACCAGTCACACGAGTAAAAAAAGGCAAACTTGATAGTATGTTGCAGCTCTTTCCAAGGACACAGAGGTCTCATTTGAATCGAGATAAGACTGCAGCCTTGCCTCATACTCCATGGTGAAATACCTTTTTCTCCACAGAGGAAACACAAAGCAGTAAAGTTATACAATTGTGAGCACTGCCAAGGTGCGGTCATGGGGTTTTCTATTCGCGCAATTAGTAATAAGGTATTAACAATAATGTTTTAGAATAATTGCCTCCTCAAACTGCTTGCAGACTTTTTTAGCACACACTAAAGGAGCCTTGCCTTTCTCTCACACACAGACGCTGCACATATGGAAGACAGATGTTTAATAGACAAGGTCAAGGAGTCCATACAGCAATTGTCTGCTTCACTATGTCTCCATATTGTTCAGATCACCACATCCACATAAATCCAGGAAATTTCCTCTGGAATGGAAACCATGTCCTACTCTTGCGGACCGTTTTATGTTTATTTTCTTTCTTCTCCTATTTTCTCTGTCTGTCTCTCCCTAACACACACTTTTGTTCTGATCTTGTGGTGCATTCAACCGGTTTAGATTCATCTCCCTCTAAAGAAACAAAAAGTATATATTTAGTCAATCCAAAAAGGTAATCACCCTCTCATTTCTGTATTTGTTTCTGTCTGTTTCTCGTTATTTCTGGATGGATCTGGGGTCGGACTGTATTGAGGGAAAGTGCAGATGATGACCAATGCACAAAGCAACAGAGAGATGATTCAAACATAAGAGGAGGGGTTTATAATCTCATTATCCCTGCCTCAACTAATCCACTAGGAACGACTGCTCTAAGTAATCAATATCCTTTACACATATTGTACCCCACACATTATTGTGAAACACATGTGAACGGTAAAATAAGGGGATTTTTAATCAACATTTAAAAAAAGATGTCGGATATGCAGGATACAATGTTGTTGGGCTTGGAGGGAATCAAGAAAACTATTCTGCATGGAGGGACCGGAGAAATTCCAAAATGTATCTCTGGATCAAAGGTATTTTTGACCTTCACTAACTTACATTTCTCTATGAATACATGTCTTCTAGCTTTATCATCCATTAAAGAGCTACATTTAGCTCATCCATTGTAGACTAAGTTCTGTACGTTTACTTCAGTACAGAGTCTATTTAGTTTGCAGTCAATAATTCAATTTCTCTGAAAGATATTTCAGGAAAATAGCAGCAATGTATGCTCCTATTTTCATGATCAAGTTATTTAGAATTCGCTTCACAAAGCTGGTTTTAAATGTGTATCTTAGAGATATAGAAGTTGAGGACCATGCAAAGACAAAAGAGAACAACATTCTTTCTAGACTGTGGTTGCAAAGCACCAAAGAGAATAACGTTCAATTAGAGGCTCTTATCTGTGACGACTATTATATAGACTTGATATTAAACATGCAATAAAGATCTAAATCTAATCATTTAGCTATGATGGATACCTCTCCATCAAGATCCCCCTTAATATCCATAAGACTTCAAGTGGCAAGAGGTTCCGAGGTTTCTTTGTCTGAACAGAGTGAAGTTTCTTCACTTATGATGGATGCTCAGCGTCTGTCATTTTTGATTATGTTACATGACATTTTATTTAGACATTAGGGCAATGTTTACAATTTGAAAAGCATTATTGTATATCTGCATCTGCCAGTGGAACATCACAAAAACAGTAGACATAATAATATGCTCATTCCACTCCAGGAGTGATTTGAAAAACATGCGCATCGGTAATCCACCAAAATGAGTTGGGAAATAAAAGCATATAACATACTGTTAACAGCCTGCTGAAAAGCAAAGCCATTATCAGGTTTGATGATGCATGACTTCATCTCTTAGATTTATGTTTCGATTTTAAGCTATTGCATGTGAACATGATGAGAGGGGAGGCTCACTCATGAAGTTGCAATTCCCCCTGGTGGCCAGAAGAGGTTAATAAGGACATGTTTCACTCAATGCTGCTTTAATAAGAACACTTTTTTCAGAACTTATTCAAAACACTTTAAACCATCTGCGTCTGGTTTGGTCTTTCCTCAAGAAAGAATGCCTTCACTTGACTGTGACTTATGAAACCATTCCTGAATCTGAAAAAAACAAATTATACAAATGCGTGGCCTGTTCAGACCAGGGGCCTCATTTATAACGCCGTGCGTAGGATTCACGTGGGAAGGTTGCTTACGTAGTAGAAATCCAAAAAATAGGTACAGAAATGTTCCGACATTTTCCGATTCACCAAACATTGCGTACCGGCGAGGAAAGTGCGTACGGGACTTCCTACGCCGGTTTCCCTTTATAAATCACATTCGACTCGAAATGCGGTGCAGCTTTTGCGGGCTTCACGTAACGCCCATATTTGCCTATAAATAGTCAAAGAAACGCCCATTCATTCATTCATTCATTTTGACTGACTTTATGAAGAAGATAGCAGGAAATGACGACAGCTAAAAAAGACATCTCACACCGTGTCAGATTCTGGTTATTTTGGGGAGGTCGAGATAAATCATATTGTTTGGTGGATGCAGTTTAAACCAGAGTAGCAGCATGGAGGTAGGATCGTCACCAAAATAAATAAATAAGTGGTCCGAAAAAGGTTAATGACAAAAAAAATACACATAGCCTTCCTCAGGCAGTGTGTTTGTACCGGGGACAGGAGACACCCCCTTGATGAGAAATAAATGATCGGGGAATCCCTCCGGAGTAGAGTCACGACGACTGGATCTGAATTATGTTTTTGTATGTTGTGGTTCGTGTCCCAGCTGTCGATCAGCTGTGCGCAGCGTCTCCACTGCAACATATTCGAGGTGGTTTTAAATAACATATCCATTTATTTATTTCTCCAAGTTATGTTTTTGTGTGCACCGAGGAGTCTCCAACAGGCGTTTGTTTAATCATTTTAAGATTGGCTTTAATCAATTTGTGAAAATGAATTATTCATGATAAATAAGAGGTAACATTTTATTTATGGTATTATTTCCACACATTTCTCTCCATTCTTCCTTCTGCCAACGGTGTCGCAGTTTCTCGTCTCTCCCATTGTTGTGCTTAGTGCGTACGCATGGGTAGTTTGCGTGGAGGACCGCACATTTTCCCGTCAAGTTAGTATTTTATAAATCGCAAACATTGCGTAGAAACTGGCGGACGCCATTTTTTGAGCGTATATCCCTTTATAAATTAGGCCCCAGCTCACATTCATGAACTCTAGCTTTGTGACTGTGTTGGGGATTTCTTGTTCTGTATTTTATAGCTTTGTTTTGAGAGCGGAAGTTTCCCTATTAAGGAATTTCAAATCATCCTTGGTTCATAAAATTATACTTTACCTGTGCTGGTTCTGTATTTTGAGGACACTTTTATTATGAAATATGGGATCAGTTTGGTATTGCTTCACTCTCCTTGGATGTTATAAAACCAGGGAATCTTGGCTTTCTGTCCTACTTTCTGTCCTGTTGAATAACTGAGCTGTGTGTAGAGCTTGTAATATAAAACCTTTGTTAAGACTTTGAAGGTTTGTTCAGTTCCCTTTTTAACAAACATTGTATTTCATTTTATGGTATTTTTGATCATTGCTCTTCAGGCACTATCTGGTCTTCCTAATATTAGTTTTATCTGCCTTGGGTTATTTAAGAGGTTTTATATATTTAAAGCTGACAGAAAGAGCTATGATCCCCACTTTCTCACATTGTTTTAGTTGTAATGAGCAGGCATCATCTCTCTATGTTTCGTTTTACTCCAGGTGACTTTCCACTTCCGCACCCAGTTGTGTGATGATGAGCGGACAGTGATAGATGACAGCAAAGTGGTGGGGACGCCCATGGAGATAGTAATCGGCAATATGTTTAAAATGGACATCTGGGAAACCCTGTTGTCCTCCTTGAGGATCGGAGAGGTGGCTGAATTCTGGTGTGACATCATTGTGAGTGCTTGACATCATGGTTTGTGTTGAAAATGGTTTGCGTGTTCCCTTTTTGCTTGTTTTGAATTGAAGTGCATTATTGTCTGTTAGTGCAAATGACTTCTTAGAAGCTTGACTGTTCACTTCATGTCATAACACTGAGGATGTGGAGGCTATAGACTCTGCAGCAAAACAACACTGTAAGTTGTAGGTGCTATACTTAAATGAATGTGACACCTAAACATTAAACACATGCCAAACTATCCTCCTGTTCATGATACAGAAACAAAAACACAGAAGTATTCAGTTTATAAAGATATCCTCTAAGCAGGGCTAACAGAGAACCGATTTGCTCATAACTGGATCAACAGGCTCTCTGACTTACTACATCAAAATAAAATAAAATATGTGTTTTATAAAGTATGTGTGTGTATCAACAACACTGCGTCCTGAATATGTGATTTACTGTCAGTAAAGTTCCCTTTGAATTCCCTGCGTATTTTCTCTGAGTAATGTTTTGTCGTCGCGTTGTTTGTGTGGCCTCTCCCTGTTATGAAAGCTGTTTGTCCCATGAAGATGGGAATATGAAACAATGTTGAAGTATTAGAATCATAGATCTATGTTTTTTATGTTTCTGTGTGCCCCACACTGTCACAGACAGATGGTTGAGGCACACTTTCATTAATCTGCAGCAGCTTCACTTTTCCCTAATCGGCTCTGATTCTGCTGAATCAGCGCTCCTGACTCACCTCCACTCTGATTAGATTTGAATGAGCTTACAGCATTTATTCACTCCTCTGAACAACATGGCGGCCCCTCACATTCCACAGACTCCTGTATGCAGTATCATTTCCAGCCAGTGGAGGGCAAACGTGCCATGCTGAGTGAGGAAATAGACTGGAGATAATGTTAAACAACTCATTTTATAATATAATTAATCTTTAATCAGTTGAATGTAAATGTAATCCGATTCCCTGTGTAGGGTAAGTGAAGTATGAGTATGAAGAATAAGTATGAGATAAATGAGTACAACACCATTTTCCTCTTTAATAAGACAGAATTCGGAAGAGGCTTGAAAATTAACACCTTAAGCCTAATTCAAGTTTACATTTTGATATTTTAATAAAAATGTGATCTCTCTCCAGCACACTGGCATTTATCCACTAGTGTCCAAGAGTATGAGGCGCATTGCAGAAGGCAAAGACCCAGTGGACTGGCAGATCCATACATGTGGTATGGCCAACATGTTCGCCTACCACAGCCTGGGCTACGACGACCTGGATGAGCTGATGAAGGAACCAAAACCCCTCTACTTTGTCCTGGAGCTGCTCAAGGTGAGTAGGAACAAACACAACCTCAATATCTTAGCCTTTCTTACCAACAGGTTTGTTATAGGGTTATTAACTTGTTTTTAGAAAACATTGGTCCATGGTGCCAAGGGAGGTTATATACATTTACTGTGAGTATGATTGACAGGTTCAGCAGCCCAGTGAGTACAACAGGGAGACGTGGGCTATGAACGATGAGGAGAGGTTGAAGGTGGTGCCTGTGCTTCACGGTCAGGGGAACAAGCTCTACAAACAGGGGAACTACGACGAGGCCACACAAAAGTACAAGGAGGCCATCATCTGCATCAAGAATGTTCAGACAAAGGTGATCAAAAGTGGTCTGAAATAACACTAATAATTATATTCTGAAAAACAGTATGTATAGACATGGATCTGATCTTCTTCAGGAGAAAGCATGGGAGGTCCCTTGGCTGAAGCTGGAGAAGATGGCGAACACCATAACGCTCAACTACTGCCAGTGTCTAATGCGCACAGAAGAGTACTATGAGGCCATCGAGCACACCACCGACATCATCAACCAGCACCCAGGTAACACTCACAGAGACTTATAGGATGTGTGTGAGCCTGTGAGGCCAAGATTATGTAAATCAAGCCTGTTGATATGAGTGTGAGACTCAAGCTGCTCCAGCCTTACAGCTTTTTTTTTTAGCTTCAACCTAGCGTGGTATTTTTCCCCCTGAAATCTTGAATGCTAGCTTTAAATCGATGTGTAATGTGTCTATGACTTTCTGATCCCATAAAAGATCCTGCCTGTTCTTGAGCATGCACAGTTTATCGTGTATGTGTTCATAGAAGCACATGTTTATTTAAGTAAGCCACAAAAGACTAAAATGATTTACTTGAAAATACTTCACGCCTTAATTGAATGCTACAGAGCTGAAAATGGTAGCTGTCAAACATGCGTTTGTTCTTCTTCTCCAGGTGACATGAAGGCCTTCTTCCTGCGAGGGAAGGCCCACGCAGAAGTGTGGAACGAGGCAGAGGCTCGGCAGGACTTCAGCCGGGTGCTGGACCTGGACCCAGGCATGAAGAAGGTCGTCAAGAGAGAGCTGGCCGTGCTTAATATGCGCATGGAGGAAAAGAACCAGGAGGACAAGAACAAGTACAGAGGCATGTTTTGACCAGGAGAGGCTGCAGCAGAGGTTAGGAGAATCACAAAAGTGATGGCTAAAGAAGAGGAATCCCCAAGATTGATTGTACCTTTAACAACCACATCTGCTTCACTGCAGTGACTTTCACAAGGTCTGGGAGACACTCAGATGGAATATATAAGGATGATATATGAGCTGCTTCCTTTCTGCCCGTCTTTCTTGGTCATCAAAACTATTAAATCAAACTTTTAAATGGAGGACTTCGTCTTTGCACACTTGTAATCTTACCTAAATTGGTTACATTTCAAGGACATGTTTGACTGCTTGATATGGTTGTTTGTATTCAATGATCTCCCATATTTAGCAAGGCATTGAGAGGTACCAAAACACAAAAGATGTATTTAACGGTTAAGTAAAAAGCGGTATTTAGTGGTTAAGTAAAAAGCAGCATTGAGAGGTACCAAAACACAAAATGTATTTAGTGGTTAAGTAAAAAGCAGTCTTTATCTAACGCTCAGAAAGTGAGCGCATAAGTGTATTTCCCAAAATGTCCAAATCTTCCTTTGCTTCTGTTCTGATTTGTTATATTGTTTTGGATTTGTTCCCGATCATGTATACAAAAAGCATTATTGAATGCTAATAAATTGTACTAGTTGGATTTCAATGTTTAAATGTGCTCATGGCATCACCAAAAGTCAAGTCACACTTTGCCACTATTTTACCTAAAACATATACAATTCCAAAGTAGTTATTCCTCAAGTGTTATCTTTAGTGACTTGTCAAGTAACTACTCAGTCTTGTGAGCTCATTGGCCTTCCACAAGGTGGTGCTCTGACCATGATTATTTGTATGGTTCACTATTGGAGAGATAATCCTGAGCCTTTACGCAGTTCCATGAACAGTCTGGGGGCTCGTAAAAAAAAACAATCTGGGTTGCATCGCTTGTCTCCTTCTTTTCTCTTCCTCTGTACATTTTCAAGAGAGAAAAAGGAAACACAGAGTGTGATGCAAAAGGACATGACGAATACATCTGGGAAATATACTAAAAAAAAACTTTTAATGCACTTTTGTTTTTGCACTGACATAAAATATAGTATTCGATCAATAGTATGACATTGCACAGAGAGCTCAGTTTCATTCAGGGAATCCCCACTCATCACGATCTGCACTGTTCCCCCCCACTCATCATGACCACGTGTCACTCACAGCACATCGTAGCAGTCACTCAGGGAAATGAGGCGGACTCTAATGCACTAGTCTAATGATGAAGAAAATCAATAGGAGCAGATCAAAGAGAAAAAAACACACGAATGATCATGATTAAACATTCAAGCTATAGCATCCATCCCTTTACAAGCACCTTGCTAATGCAGTTCCTGCTGCTGAGTCGTGCCTAATCTTAGGAAGGTAAACAAGGAGACTAAAACTGTGGTTAGATACAGCACTCATTAGAGACCGTAGGCAATTTATCTCTGCTCTGATCCAGTAAAACCTTTTCTTTATCTTCACACTTTAATACCATCAATGCTATTTAGAAAACGGACTTAGATTAAGTAGATTTATGTGATGGGGCTGTGTCGTTGGAAACCCTGCCCTGGACTAAAACACAGGCCTACAATCAATTCTGCATAGCAGCACAATCCGCAGTTGGCTTTCCTCCATAAACCACTGGTGCTGATGTTGAGAAGAGGGAAAGAAAGGGAGGAGGCAGGAGGAGGAAGAGGAGGGGGCTCTGTGCCCCTGCTCCAACAGGAGTTGCCTCAAGTTAGCCAGAGAAAGAAAATGTCATACAGGAAGTAAGGCAATCGTCTATTCAAAATAAAATATGTAATGTTAGGATTTGGAAAGGAAAGTAATAAATAATTGTCTTTATTGTATGTTTCTTGGCTCCTTGTTTAGGTCTTACTCCTTGATGAATGCATACTTTATATAGACCCTAATTACTTCATGTACTGCATTTGATTGAAAGACAAATTAATAAACTCTTTCCTGCATTGTTTGAATGTCAAATGTTTTTTGCTTGGAGTACCCAGTAGTTTAGACTTCTTTGGAAGTAATCTGGCATATCATCAGAAGATGTTCACTGGTAGCCATTCAATTAAGCAGACTACCAAATGTAGCCTGTCACTTGAAATATATTTGCAAAAGCCATACAGGCTAAAGTTATGCTATTTGACAATACTTAAAAAACAACATAGTATTTCGTCATTTTACCCACTGTGGTTGAAAAGAGAAAATACCCATTCATTTCTGTATTACCCATCCTTGTTTTCCAAAAGGGTGTGTTGTGTTTATCATGTTGATAGTAAGGTAACGCAACGCTCCACATCACACCACAAACCCATTGTGTAGCTACAATACAAATCAACAATATATTATGTTTCCTACACTCTGCAGCCTGCACACCACTTCAAACAGACAACGAGGACATAATTGAAACATTTAACCAAGTCAAACCAGGTAAAACCAACATTAAGCAACACAAAAAGTCATTTGACTTTTATTTGCAGCAAAATAAAACACCACCATAGCAACAACACAGAGGTTAACGATTAAATGACCACAGTACAGCCAGAAAACATACATTCAAGCAAAAAGAGCTGCACAGGTGTAGGCCTACAACTTTTAGTGAAACACACGAGTAAGTTTGTTTGTTGTACTCACCATAGTCTTATGTATGGGGAAGTCAATCTGCTCAATCTGCTGCAGGTTCAACTTCTCTGCTCGTTTAATAGTCCACAGTTTTCAAACTTGTTGAGCTGATCACAGCAGCACAAAGCTCCACACACCTCACTGAAGATGGAAATTTCTCTGCAAGGATCCGACATTAGCATAAGCACAGCACCTAGCATGTTTGGAAGAACAGCGTGCACCTGTGTGTTTGATTTTGGCCACTTTAGGGTGCTGGCCGGTGTTGTGCAGTTGCTTTTAACACGTGGTTAATTAAGGTAAGTGAGATAACGTTGCAATCCTCGATGACGTTGTTAACTCGTTATTTCATTTTTGCATTGTTTTACTTCCAAAAATATATGAGTCGATGTGTGTTAATTATGTTTTAGTTTACTGTATATTCATGGCTGGTGTTTTATTTTGTGTTTCGTCGCCGGAAGTTATGTGTTTCAGTATGGGTGACTTGACATGGTCCCAAATTGAGTACAGTCGCTGTGCTGCTGCGTCGTTGAGACAGAGGAGGAGAGGATAAGAAAGTGGCTTTGAAAGAGACCCTTCACCCCCATCCTTCTGCGTAAAGAAAAGGAAAGAGAGGCGTGTTTCTACTTTTCAAATAACAGACTTAAAGGAAAGTACTGGGACTGGATCAAGGCGGAAAACTCATCTGTCTGAACTGTTCCTCCTTGGATGTATAAGAAGACGGGAGTTTTTCTGATCTGAGGCCCTTCGGAAATGAGCCACACAGTGGAAGTGAAGGAAGGTGACGGAAAGTGATTCAAGAGGAAGAATGATATCTGCAGGAATCCCACATCTCCTTTCTGATTTTATTACTTTCTTTTAGCCGGGTTGATCTACTTTAACCTTTTTAAAGCACCTTTCAAATAATCTAATTTGCACCCACCCATACCTCAGTTTGTTTAACCTCACTCAAATTAAATAGGCCTATTGCTTCAGCTGTAATGGCATGTAGGTGCATCCCAGCTTGTAACTAATTAAACCACTTTTAAACTCAATTCCCTTTTTTCTGATCTTAATTGATACAATTGACTTTTGAACATGGCCATCAACACGGACACCGACTTCCTGAAGTCCAACTTGGGAGGAGGCACGCAGCCTGAACATCCCCACGAGACTGAGAAACTCCTCGCGCTGACCACCGAGCCAGCGGGACATGGGATGAAGATGTCCACCTCCTTCACCGTCAACATGGACACTGACAAGGGCCAGGAGGCCGACCAGAACGGCCACAGTGTGTCGGTGAGGTCAGGCTCCGCCGGGCAACTGGGTGCCTCCGCCCCCCTCTCCCCCTCCAAGGCCAGCCTGAGCCGCTCCTCCACCGGGAACGCGACCGTGCAGGAGACCCCGAAGCCCAAGGATTACCTCATCCTCGTTATCTTGTCCTGCTTCTGCCCCGTGTGGCCCGTCAGCATCGTGGCACTGGTGTACTCCATCATGGTGAGTATCACATTACTAAACTGTCTCTGAAGGAATCTACAACAGAAAGTATACAACAGCAAAGTGGAGCAGCAAAGATTAATGTGTGGAATATTAACATCAATATCTCAGTTTATTTAGAACATAAATAAGAGAGCTTCTTTATAACATAATAATAATATATAAAAAAAAACATGTATTTTCATAAAGTTCAGGGCCTATTCATGTAATTTCTGGTGGACCAAATGTGGCTCCAAATGTGAACATATTGTTGACAAACAGGGTCTGTTCCAAAAAAGGTAGTCTATATTTTACAGATATCAGTTATCTATTGATTGTCTTCTATGATTTCCAAAGCTGCTATTTTGTCTACATTTAATTCTGGACTTGTTCGGAAAGTGACAATGATATTTTGGACGAAGATAATATCTCTCTAATATTCAGGGAGATAATGGTCTTTGACAGGGAATATTCCTTTCAAATTATACCAGCAGATCAAGAAATATATCCATTAACCTTTTCTGTCATGTTTTAAGCATTTGAGGGGCAGGAAATATTGGGAAAGAAAATAGGGGAATGACAAGCTGTTGGATAAATCACGACAAATTAATATGAAATGGTAAGTGATTCATTTTCATGATTCCAATCCACAGTGGCCTGCGACAGGTCAGGGTTTAAGTGTAAACATGTAATTGTTATCACTTGAGGGTCACGTTTAATAAAAAATTAAGAAATAAAAAAGTAATACAATTATAATTATTTCCAAGCAATTCCACAGAAACTAAATCTGCAGAACAGATCTATTCAGCGCATTGACGTATCTGAATATAATACAATTTCTCCAGGATTGGCATTTTTCATTGAGAGGTCCCTTACAAACTCTTAATGTCATGGTTGACTAGACACACACACACACACACACCTATACCTAGATCTCAGTGCGTCATTACCTTTCCAGTGTTTGCTGCTTGTTCTGGTTTAGAGGCGCTGACACTTGATTCATCTTCTCCCTGAAAGTTTCAGGATGCAGAAAATGCTGATACACGTTGCATCTAGACACTGAAGCGACACAGGGCAGTCACAGATGCTTGATATGCTGCTAAGGTTTCGTACTCTTCAATCAATATTCAGGGGACACAGTCCTCAGTGGGTCTTCAACAAACACTTTTAAAAACCGCCTATGGACTGCTTGTCTTCTTCAAATTCACATTGCACATGTAATTGAGTTTTACAATCTATGTAGAGGGAACTCCACTGTTGAAACTGAAAGCTGACACTTCTCTGTTGTCACCCTCTGCAGTGGTGAGAGGTCTGCAGTTAAAATGGTGGACTTGCTGTTGAAGGCTGTGAGAGAGTGTAGTTTATTTCAATCAGCCAATTAAATAGTCAGGGAATGCCCCAGTTACCAGAGGGAGATACAGCTGGGCTTAGTTGATTTTTGATGTGTAAAAGTGCAAAAACAGTGTGAAGGTCAAGTGTGACGTGACAAGAAATGTGTAAAAAAACTACAGCGCAGGTGCAACGGAATGAAGAATGGCTATACCTCAATGATGGTGACCCTGGCATCACTTTTCACACATCAATAAAAACTCATCGCTTATGCAGCAATATACCAGTGATATGGCAGCAGCGCTAAATACACATTAATAAAAGGTGACACTTTATCTTCCAATAATGCTTGATGCAATGAAACATCCTGCTAGAGTAAGCTCCTACAAAAGCTGTTAAAGGCATGTGACAACTGACAATACAAAATGTGAAGGTTTGATTGGATAATAACTGCTCAATATTTATTTTGATTAGGTAAGACATAACTTAAAATGAGAAGATCAATCATTTATTATAACATTGCACTGAATGTGTTTACTGCACACAAAAGAGCAGTACACAAACCGATGACATTCCTAAGGATCGTTACACAGACACTCAGATAGCGTGACACAGCAAGAACCTCCCTGGGACTGGCAGGTCAGTAATCTGCCACCTTTCAATTTGTTATTTCCTTAATCTTCAGTAAAAGGTCTTAAGCTGACTGACACCACGAAATCCTGGCATCAGGTGCTCATCTACTCGGCCCTGGAACTGTACATCAGGGTAAAATCCCCTGCTGCATCACCCAAAGGCTGTTTGTCTTTATTAGACGTCTGGTGTGTTTGTGTTTGAATTGTTTACTTAATTTTAAACTGAATGTTTGTTCCCACAAAGTTTTACGCAATGTTTCCTGTATTGTAAAATCTATTGAAGCACCTAGTATTATTTCACCTGCACAAAGAATTTACACCAACATGAGAATCTATTGCTAATGGTTAGAGTTGGGTTTTATTTTTAAAACATTTTAAGGTTGAAACTCTTATCCTTCTACATTTACAGTCTTTATGCAATACTTTACTTTCCAAATTCTACTTCATTATAATTGATTTACTGGAGAAATTGATTGAGTTTCTCTAAAACATTAAGGCAGGAGCACTTTATTTAACTTTCCATTTTAGTTTTAGACAGAATATTAGAACCAGTTCATGGTGTCTCTCCATCAATGCAGCTAATGAAGGGAGAGTGGCCCACAGAGGCAGTGTTACATATGTTAAGGAGTTTCCCAAATCTTGATTGTTGTCATCATGAGACATCTATTGATGAAATTTGAGGGAAACAAAAAGCACAGTGAGGAGTTTAATTGTGCATTCAGTTTTTTTAAGAACATTATCCTGATTATAATAACATCATTTTTCTTAAAGGGATGAGTCCAGAGTCCACCCTTCTGGCTTTGTAGAACCTAGGTGGCCTTGTATTGCTTTGTTAAATCATTCATGCTACCAATTGCAAGCTTTCACATCAACGTAAAAATATTAACGGCCCTGTCCGTATACGATGTTTGGTTTTTATGTTCTTGGCTACTGTAGAAACATGATACTATATTCCCTGCCAATGGATCCCCCTTAATCATATACAAATACATACCTTTAAGTAAAATGTTGACAACATTGGACAACTTTATTTTAAATACTCTTCCATCACTGAACCTCTTGTGTGTTTGAGCCAGGAAACAAGATAAAGATTACTGTAACCGAGCAGTACAGATAAACAATATATTTTACACAGCATGGCATGTGTCATGCAGGGTTTCACCGGTAGTTGTATTCATGGTATCAGATGTTACTCTGTTGTGTCAGGATTTTAACTCATGTTGGCTGATGGCAGATTAGTTTCTATTGGCACAGCAATTTGTGTTTCCAGCGTACTTCACTTCTGACGCTGTACAGCAGCCAGCACTCAGATCCACAGAGAAACAAGGCAAAGACAAAGCAGTAGACCCATTAGTTCTGTAATATCATTCCTGTGCACCACACACCAAAGGGAATATCAGGCAGTATCCACGAGACAGCCTGTACTTCCCCAAGCCATCACCATGATCCCACTGACATTCACAAGTCAGCCGCTTGCTAATGGCATGGAGAGTGTGTGAGAGAGAGAGATGGAGATAGAGAGCAAGGCTTTGACAGAGGGCAAAAGAAAGGAAAGTGAAGGAGGGAGAAACTGGAGCTGGCCACTAACTCGATAGAAGGCGAGAGAAGTCTATTTCGTTTCTCTGCAGAGGGCAGATTGCAGCAGTTAGCCAGCTCTGTGGCAGCAATCAACATCATCTCTCTTTCCTGAGGGTATGGAAAGGGGATACATGCCTCAAAAGGAGACCAAAACATTTGTACCTACAAGGACATATGGGTGTGAGAGATACAGCAAATGCCTATAAAGTAGTTCCTATCACTGGATTAGGAAAGAATCTAATCAGATACCACAGATATGTAAGATACAGTAAGTGCAAGTGAGTCAGAGCAGGAAAGCAGAGGTTTTACAACAGGCACTACGAACCAATGAATCAAAAAGTAATGTGGTTGATACCACACTGCACGATGAAGACCTAGAGTGCAAGCTCAAGACTAAGTGCTAATATCCTCTCACACGTGAAATGGATACTTCTGGAAAGTTGAAGAGAGAAAAAAGGAAACTGCTCAACTGCTGTTAAAATGGGATTAAAATGGGGAGATGAGGATACTGCACAGACATCAGGAGATTGTAAACAGAGAAATAAAAAAATAATCAATATATTTTCTTTCTAAGCTGCCATCCATTGAACTGGGATAACCAGATCAATGGATGTTTTAATTTAAAACCTTATCTTGTTGAAGTTGTCAGAGCACAGCATGCAAACCTAAATATAACCGTAAGCCTGCACAAATCAATATTTTATATAATTATAACCAATCAAATGGCAATGTGAAATACAAAAAAGGCTCATTTGTAGTGATGAACCGACCAATAATGATCACCCAACTCTGACATCAGATTCCCGACAGCTCTAAAAAGCCTTTTAGTCTATTTTGGATAATTTCCTAAATTCCCACCTTCACCGTCATCCACCCTGCTTTCAGCAGCAGACCGCACATTTTAGCAAAAATGCTCTTTTAAATCCAATGTTCACCTACCCAGCAAACAAAAGCTACTTTCTGAAGAATATATGGAGCATTTAACAGCTGAAGATCAAAGTGTTTTCCTCAGACGTTAGTAAAAACAGTGAGATTATTGGACTAACATTCATTAAGGGGACAAAAACAGGGTCTGAAATCATCGCAAATATTGCTACTATAAGTGTGTGAAAATAGGCAATTGTTTGCTAAGATGTTCGCCATGGCAACTTAATATGGCGATCATTTGTTCGTGTTGTGTTTCAAACTGGCGCGCTGTCCCTAAGTGGCCAAAGAAAATCAATGAATGCAATTTTAACATGCACTGCCAAATGACGTTTTAATGGTGGGGAAGATATAATCTTGTGTGTGCACATTAAGAAAACTGCATTTTAAAATTCCTGCATTTTTCAATTCACTTTTATGAGGCTTCGCTGAAGCAAAACACAGCGAGCAAAACATTTATTGTAGAAGTGATAACCGAGAACAATAAGACAATATCAGCGTTTTCATCTTGTAAAAGGCCCAAATCTTTAAAACTTTAATTAAAGTAAAATCTGTTGA